TCTATCTATCTATCTATCTATCTATCCATCCATCCATCCATCCATCCATCCATCCATCCATCCATCCATCCATCCATATCTATCTATCTATCTATCTATCTATCTATCTATCTATCTATCTATCTATCTATCTATCTATCTATCTATCTATCTATCTATCTATCCTCCTTCATTATTTTTTTATAATTAATTTGAGGCAGTGAACTTCTAATTCTGCTTTCTCTTCTTCTTACTATTTGCCCACAAAATAACCCTGGTGGTTGATGTAAAGCATATTTAGTTAGATTTTCATTTCTTTTCTCATATCTTCTCCCCTTTTAATTAACATATGCTGATTAGATCTTACTCTTGGTCAGTGTGTGACATAACACTACTTAATCTAAAAAGAATAATGTTGTATATACCTGAATATATGCAATAATTTGCAACCAAATATAGAATAACCTTGTGTTTGGGTGTTGTTCTTAAAAACAAGTAGAACCTCTTTTTTACCTGTAGATAAATACTACAAATTTCCTAGAACTTTTCATAGGAGGCATATAGCACTTAAGAAGAATAAATGCTTTCTGCAAAACTATTGTTGATAGATGGTTGTGAACAAAACTTTCACCTTTATCATCATGAATTCCAGTCCATGTCTACTGGACAATTCAATGGAAAATTTCTAATTTGTTCTTTTCTCTGGAAGTCACTGATAAATAAAAAGGAGCTGCATTTTAATAGGCAATATTCTTTAGCAGTTAGTACTGAATAAGACTAATTCAGTAATGAGAACTAAAGAAAAGGAAATGTATTGTGTAAATGCAGTATAGATTACTGATATGGGTTCATGTGATCTGAAACAATTTACAAAATACAATATACCTGCTTGGAATTTTCCCCCTTTTTATTAGCAAAATTTTTCTTTCAGCCATATAACATGTTTCAGCCAATATTTCTTTACAATATGTGTACTTTTCTCCACTTTTTCATTTTGCAATGGCATAACCATAAAACTCCAATTTATTTACTGTATGCCTAGCCATGAACTTCAAAGCTACTTACCTCTCCTAAATCTATGTGGAACTTATAATGTTGATTATGTTCAGTTCTTCTACAATTTCTTCCTACTTCTTGCATAGAGTGATCTAGGCTGGCAATCTTCTAAGCTGGTTTTGGTTTATAAGCACAGCATCATAATCTCTTAATACTTCTTGTTTAGAGTAATCTGCTGTATGTATGCAAACTAGCAATCTTCTAAACTGATTTTGGTTTTAAGCACAGAATCATAATATGCTCCTGCTTCTGCTCCTCCTCCTCCTCCTCCTCATGTTACATTTCCCCCCCAAGATATTCAGGGCCTTTACTCTTACCTTTATTGAATTTCTACTGTGCCCACTGCTAGGCTATGGTTATTTTGGAAAGTCATAGCTCTATAGACATAAGACATTTGACATGGGGGAAAAAACTGGGGAAAAAATAAAGGAGTGAACAATTTAAGACACCAATATTTGAGTATGCATAGATTTTTGGAAACAAATAGTCTTAAAATAGGCCGAGTTTGTCAGTAATTGCTTTAAACTAAAAAAAGAGGATACATTCTTAACAATTATAGAATTGGAGGTGGAATAGTCATGCCATACATGTAGTAGAACTTTCAAATATATGCATAAAATGCAATAAACTTCAGGAAAAAGATTTTTTTGTCCACAAAAAAACCAATCATAGAGATCTTAGAACCATAGCCATGACTTCCGCTTCCAGATCATGGCATGTTCAGCCGTACAAAGAGATCTCTCTCTTTGTCGGCTGTTTTCCCTCTGCTGGTAGATCCTTATGCGGGTCTTTAATTGCCCTGGAGGGGCGACTACCATCGAGGAGGTTTTTGCTCGGCTGCGGTGGAGCGGCGGCTTCCCCTACAGTCCAAGCTAACTCCGTAGGGCCAATGGAGAAGAAGATCGGCCAGTAAAATGGCCGATCACTTAGCTGCGCCAGCTGAAGTCAGAAAATCATCTAAGCATAAAGAACCACCATGGTGAATCCGGGTGAGACCTTTCCTCCCTCTCTCTGTCCTGACTATTTGCCTGTAAAAAGTTTTTGATCACTTCCCTGTCTTAAGAGAGCAGCTTCTGTCTACTTGGGAAAGAAAGTTTTAAAAGAACTAAAATAGTTAAAGTTTTATTGACTACTTGATTTTTTTTCTTTTTTTTGGATACCTAGGGGCCCTGAAAAAAAATAAAAAATAAATGCTATATTTTTTTACTTTATCTATTATACTGGAGATACCTGCTTTTGCTTTTTATGTTTCCCGAAAGAGATAAATTTTTTATCTATTTGGAAGAAAGAGTTTACAGTCCACTGAGGACATCTTGTGGTGAAAAGTGCCATTACAACTGTATTTTTTTGCTATTTGAAGAGGAATTTGACCTTTGGATGTGGATATTCGTTGACCTTTTTGAAATATAGCCTCCACTAAAAGATTAAAGACTATTCTTGATCAAAGTCTATTTCACCATTAAAATGGAAGAAGCTTATCCACCGCTCGACTATGAACTTATATTGGAAAAGATTTTGGAAACTACAAACTATATGAAAACTTATATCAAATCTTGGAGAAAAATCAAAGATGATATTAGAGAACCACAAATTGACTTTCAACCATCAGTTCAAACTACAGACCAAAGAATAACAGAGGAAGAACAGAGCAACCCTAGAGAGGTTCCCACTCAGCAAGATATATAACTGAACAAGACAGAGGAACTGCACTTACAATTCAATTATGAACTTACAATAGAAACTACTGAGCAAATTAATCCTACACAATCCTACTTTCGACCTATGGAAAACATTGATGATAAAAGAATACCATTAACTGAACTATTTGATCTCCAAAAAATAACAGAGCTTGACATTCAGGTACAAGTTATTGAAAATTGGGACAATGTGGACAATCAACTAGCAACTTTAATAAGGCATAAAATTGACTATACTATTCAAACGATATTGGAAGAAAGAGAAGAGAACTTTGATTATTTTGATGTATTGAGAAATAGCTTTACTCAAATGCTGAGGTTTGATGATGCTGAGGCTTTATCTTGGAAACCGGTTTGGCATAGAAAGAAAGCTAGAGTTAGGTTTAAAAATGTGGTTTAAAACTCCACTGAATGGGTTAAAAAGGTTGTTGACACTTGGATTGTTTTAATAACAAATGAAATAGGTGATTCTATAAAAGGATATTTTTTGTAACAATACTTGGTATTAGAGATGATAAGTAGTGGAGGGGTAAATTTTACTTAATTGATTGATAGAATATATATTTAAAATACACAGAAATGTAGTTCTTTGGACTGATATCTTTATTTTAACCAAGATAACTATTTTGTAATAGAGGGAGAAGAGGAGGTATTTGTGATAAGAGAAATAATAGTATTAATAAATGATGTATTAATTTAAGCAATAGGGTATATTTAAAAAAATGTAAGGATGTTGATTTTTGGGATAATATATTTATTTTAGATAGAACCATCATGATAGGGAAAAGAGAAATGAGGGATGCCCGAAGTGTTAATATGTCTATATAAGCTTAATTGGAATATGGTAATTTCTAAAATAGTAAAGCTTAAAAACAGGACTTGGATTCTTATAATTGAAATGTGATTGATGACCGATTGGATTGATTGAACTTTTTTTATAAATGTAATAATTTTAATTGGTAAAATAATATGTGGGAAATAGAGAGAGAACTTTTAAGGAATTAATCTGTGTGATATATGTATGATTTTGTTCTTGGATAATTGATAGCCCAATCACCACATTGTTTCTTAAGCACTTTTATGTAAAAATGAAAAAACCAATAAAATTTCTTCATAAAAAAAAGAACCATAGCCATGTTCTGTTAGAGCTCTGGATTAACAAAAGTGCTTTTATTTTTCATAAATAATTAACCATAGTTAATTTCACTAGAATTTCACTGGAATTCAGTTGGCCTTACCAAATTTATTATGTTCATGATGAGGCTAAGAACATCTGGACAGAATAGCCAGTCCAGCCCACAAGGCCAATAAAGTCCTTCAACACATTATCCCTAAATTCTGATTCTTCATAATTCAGAAGTTAAATAATTAAGAAGATTGAATATTTTGGTACATTGTCTAACATCAAGTATTAGGTTCTGCAAAATTGTAATGATGATTTGTTCATCAAAATCAAAACAGTCAAATTCATTATGATTACAACATTGTCCAATCCAGCCTTAAAATTAATTTTTAAAAGGTTTTGGAAAACATTGGACATTTAATGCCCAAACCTTCTCCCCTAATTTCCTTGAATTATTTTATGAAATGCCTGTTGCACACCCCTGTTTCTTAAGCTGTAGATGATTGGATTAAGCATAGGTGTTAGAATCCCATAGAGCACTGGTAAAGCATGATCTTGCTCTTGAGAGTAAGTGGAATTAGGGCGTATGTAAGTGAAGATGATGGTGCCAAAGTAGATGTTCACTACAGCCAGGTGAGAGGCACAGGTGGAAAATGCTTTGCGACGTCCACCCTTAGTCCCAATCCTAAATATTGCTAAGGCTATATATACATAGGACAACAGAGTCATCAGGAAGGAACCCATAATTATACCTCCTCCAAATACAAAAGTAGCAATTTGATTGATCTGAGTATCAGTGCAGGATAGTTGGAAGAGAGGAGGGATGTCACAAAAAAAATGTTCTATGACATTATCCTGGCAGAAGGACAAAAAGGTCATAAGGCCAGCGTGGATAGCTGAATTTGACAAGCCAAGAATCCAAGCAGTTACTGCAAGCCAAATGCACACTTTGGGCCGCATGAGCATACTATAATGCAGTGGGTGGCAAATAGCTGCATATCGGTCATATGCCATGATGCCTAACAAAACACATTCAATGCCACCAAAGCAGATGAAGAAGTACATCTGGGACAAGCAGCCTGAGAAAGAGATTCGATTGTCATTAGAGAGATAATTCATCAACATCTTCGGAACAGTGGAAGTTGTGTAGCCAATATCTACTACAGAGAGATTGCATAGGAAGAAGTACATGGGATTATGGAGTCTGACATCTAAGCTGACAATAAGAAGTATAAATATATTTCCAACCACGGCCATCAGATAAATAATAAGAAAGACACCAAAGAGAATGAGTTGAACCTGAGGGTCACTGGAGAGTCCCAGGAGTATAAATTCAGTGACAGAAGTTGAATTCTGTGTCATCTTATATCGAGGATTCATCTGTGAAAGAATATTACAGAACATTTTTCTAGTTATCTTTTCTGGCAAGGAACAAGACCTGAAATAGAGGTCTTTTACATGCAAATAAAAACTCAAAGCCTTTGGAGGCTGTCAGTTCTGCTTAAGTAATAGTAAGGATTTTGAAGCACAGTATATATTGTAAAATAAATACATATATTAAGACAGAATTACAATAAGTACAGAAAAAGTCACAAGAATTCATTAAAGGAAATTAAAATTATGATTTTTTTAAAAAAAGAAATCTATCTGATTCTAATTTTCACTGACATTATTCTTTGTACTCTCTGTTTATTTTAATCATTGCAAACTATTCTGACTCATACCCATACACTGTTTCATAAATTGTTTTTGGTCCTTACATTTCTCATCTCTGTGATTTTCCTGATCCTCCCTTACTTTTGCTTCAAACATATATTTATTTTGCAAATGGATGCATGTTCATTCTCTCTATATGACCATGCCACTTACTACATTTATTATTTTTCTTTTTGCATTCAGAAGTTCAAGTCAATGAATAATATAAATATGATTATTAGAAAATTAATGATGAAGCAAGTCATAATATGCAAGGGGGTGTATACTGAGTGATTGGATAGAACTCATAATTTTTATTTTTTTTAATTGCAAAAGGAGAAAGTAGAAAAAGAGATTGACACCTGAACGAGAATTTCAGTTGTAACACTTTTAATTACCTTTTTGATTACCTCTTCTTCTTCTTTTTGTCCACATGAATAAGCCTTTCAGTTCAGGTCTAGTCACAAACCTAAGAAGGAATTGGTACAACATTAAAACATGCCACCAAAGAAAATGAATGAGATTTTAAATCTAATTTGCTTAGAACATGTAAAACATACAAAACAAGTTCTAAACATTACCCACAATTGCCTACGCTTAATTCAATAGCTGTTCCAAATGAGCATATATTTGACATAATAACATCAAATATATACTCATTTGGAATAGCTATTGACAGTCCATGACATATATTCAAATCCTGTGGCTGTTTAAAGAGAAAAGTGCTGGAAACTTACAGCTTTTGTCATTTCTATTTGCAACTAATCCTGCATTAGATTTCAAACTATATTATGCCAAATTGTTTGCCATTGTTGGTTTTGTTGCTATGTCTATTCTTTTTCTTAAAGAAGTCTTTACATCATCAACAACAGTAACAATAATCTTTTGTGTGAAATCACTACTATATTTTTAGTGTCAATCTGCTTCCTCTTTTTAATTCTCTATTCCAGGGGTCCCCCAACCCCCACTCTGTGGACCAGTACCAGACTGCGGCATGCCAGCACAAACAAGCAAAGCCCCATCCATGGAATGCAGGCAGCACACAAAATCACACACTTTCTGGTCTGCAGAAAATCCTTTCTCCACAGAACTGGTCCCTGGTGCACAAAAGATTGGGAACCTCTGCTCTATTCTAAAACAATTTCAGGATAGCTTATGCTTAGACTCCAAAGAGTGAATAGAGTTTACTTTTGAGTAGAAATGAAAGAAATCCTAACATATATACCTGGAAAATTTGAAATCTACATGGATAAAATATCTATTTCTCTCTGTCTGTCTCTCACACCCACATGCTCATGCATGCACACGAATATGGGCACACACCATCAGACAGATATTGTTACAAAGTTACCTGCTTGCAATTGCACATTTTATTTCATTGGTGGGCAGAAATCCTGATTGAGCAGAAACTTTTAAAATCACCAATGCTAACTGGAGCAGCTGTTCAGTCTTTGTCTCTTTTAGTTATAGCCCCAAACTATGAGATCTTCAGAGAAGACAAATACTCTGAGGAAATATGCCCAGAAGAAATGAGTGCTGCATAAATGCTTCATTTTCATAATTAACCTCATGTGCTACTACTGATCATTGTAATATGGAATTTGCTCTAAACTTTTTCATTAGACAATTATTGAGGACAAGTTTGATTTGATTTTTTTTTAAAAAAACTCTATGACTTAGTGAAACATTCAGGCAAAAGAGTGATTATTATGAGAGTCAAAGAACATGCAACTTGCAACATTTGGCTTTTATGAAATAGTGAAGGCAAGTATGTAAGTGTATGTGCTTGTGTCTCCACAGCAAGGCCTAAGGGGAAGGAAAGGTGACATATGCATCATAATATATTACTGATATGGGTGTCAACGCTGCTAACATCGGATGTTCTTGCTTTGACAACAGATGGAAATGCAGCCATTTTTCCTCTATTGCTTTTAGAGTTAGTAGATGCTGGGAATGTGGATGAGAGTCTAGCTAGTCATAACAACTTAACCGTGGGAACCCAAGATCATTGGGCCCTGAGTTGTTAGAATTTTGGTGGCCTGGAGAGCTGGGGAGAAAGCCCATGCTTCAAACTAATTGGGGAATGTGATTTATGACTGTTAATTGGAGGAGGAAATTGTGCTTTGTTACATTGTATCAAGGGGAGGGGAATTTAATTTTTGGTTTCAACTATGTAGTGCCGAATATGTTTCTCGAATAAAAAATTCTTTAAGGTAAATAATGCCTCAAAGTTATTTTGAAGAGTTTTATCTGTCGGAACCATGACAATGGGTTTGTGCAAGCTGATCCAACTTAAAACATACAACATACTTGTGAGGGGTTTTTTCCCCATTTTTTTTTCCAAAACAATTTTTATTAGTTTTCCATTTTACACCAACACAGCTTAAGAATCCACATGGAAACATGGTGATCAATTTTTTTTAAACAAACAAACAATAATATAGTAAATATATACACATTATTTCTTTAAAAATTCCCTCTCTATCTATATAGAATATTATACTCAAATTGATACATTTTCAGATGAATTCATTCATTACTATATCTAACCATCAACTACATTAATCAATAAAAAAAATTTAATCTATAAAAACCTATATTTCTTCACACATTTAAACTTAAGCTTAATAAACTCTCCATTTATTTAAAGACATTATAATCAAGTCAATATCTTTCTAAAACCAATTCATTTCACTAATATAACATTTCATCCAAGTTATCTAATTAAAAATAAACTAACATTCTCTATCTATTTATATTATTATAAGCTCATTAAAACATTTCTAAAACAAATTTTCATTAAACATATCACTCTATATAAATTTCATTAATCAATAAAAATTTTAAAACTCATTATCCATCCCAAAGATCCTGTATCATGCTTTCTTAATTTTGCAAATATTTAAACTTAAACTAACATATCCATTTACTATTCAGGTGCCCCAAGTGTTTTTTTTTTTAAACATTATTAACTCCAAAAATAAATTCTTCTTTCTGACCAATATTTTATTGTTTTTCACTGTTTCTCCAAATCTTCAATAATTAATTCCATCATTTCCCATATTTCAGTTCTTTTCTCAGTATACCATCTCTAATATTAAAAACATTTAACAAAGTCCCAATCCAAATCAATTCAGATCGCTATAAAACCTTTACCACATTACTATAATCAGATTTAATATTTATATCGTATTCTGGGTTTCTTTTTAATCCAAACTGGTTTCCATAATCGGGCCTCTGCCTGCCACACTATACACTCCAAAAAGGAAGCTCCCATTGTGCATTTTGTTAAATTAGTATAAAAGTTATAGTTAATCTGAATGACTCATAGCAAAACATCATTTCCCCTTTCTTTTAACGTTGAATAAATTTCAATTAAAGTCCTTTATTGTATATTGTCCTCTTTGCTCGCATTTTTCTCTTCTTCCCATGTTTTTTCCTCTATCTCAAAATCAAATGGCGTCTGCAGGTCAACTTGTCCTTCTGAAGCAAGATCGTCCAGTTCCTTATCATAAGTCTATTGTCTGTTGATATCAAGTCTTTTTTCCAAAATCAATTGATTATCCAACTGTAAGTTTACTTCTTCCACCTCAGTAAGCGGAGCACAAGCCTCTTGTGTGTAAACTGATGTTTCACTTAGTCCTTGTCTTTTGCCTTGTCGATACAAAGAAATCTCCTTTGAGCAAGCAATTATATTCTCCGTATTTTCCAAAATTTTGTCCAAAATATATTTATAAATAAGATCTACACCGGTTTCCTCCATCTTTATTATATTTCAAATCCTTATCCTTTTGAAGGAAACTATATTTAAAAAAGGATCACAGTATCCATCTCCTCCCAGTTTCCTCATCTTTTTCCTTTGTACAAAATGAAAGCCTTTCCAGCGAAGAACAGATAGCAAATACAACGAATAAATTTGTCCAAGTGTGTCCCCCAGAAAGTAATCTGATATTCAATCCTTCTGGCCACCATAAAAATAAAAGCAAACAATATTCTCCAAATATTATAAAAAACTTTCTTGAGGCTCCCAATATCCGAAAATAAAATCAACCATTAAAACAAAAGTAAATTTAATCCTTTGTGCTTCTCTTTCCCCATTTAAAAAACTGCTTCACCAGAAAAGGGAATAATTCCAAGGAAAAAAAAAACTTTTCACAGGCGTAAAGAAAATAGAGGTGAAATGAAAGTCTCACCGAGTTCTCCACGGTGGGTCCATTTGCTTAGCTGATCTTGTGGCTTGCGGTTGGCACAGCTAAATGATTGGCCATTTTACTGGCCGATCTTTACCCTGTCGGCCCAAAGGAGATACTCGGTGCACAGAGGATGCTGCCGCTCCTCTGCAACTATCCGAGAAGCCTCCTCAATGGTAGACGCTCCTCCAGAGCATCTTTTCGACCCTCTAAGGGGTCTACCGGCAGGGGAAACTCGATCGGCAAAGGGACAACTCCCTTCAATCAACCGCACCATCGCGAACCGGAACCAGAAGACTTTTCCCCATTTTATTAGGATAATAAAAGTGTATTTCAAATTTCCCCTTCATTCACCTAACATGTTTCAGGCAGTATTTCTGGTTACTTTTCCCCATTCTTCTGACTTTGTAATGGCAAAGCCATACAACAAAATTTGATGTCTATGTGCTGCCTTGCATTTCAACATTATCTACCTGGCCAAGATCCATATGGAACCTACCACAT